GCTGGAACTCCATACGCCCTAGCATTAACAACAACCTTACAATGCACATCCAAGATTCCCTGGTTTGGTTTCTGATGTGAGTATAAAGACCCTGAGAATTAATCTGAGTGCACAATTTAATTTAACAGTGAGCTTTCAGTACTGTGCCTTCATCAAGACTTTCTAAGGCATTTAATTTTATTTTCACTCAAACAGCTCTCTTTCCACACTTGTGTTTCATTGGTGTACATGTTACTTAACTAAATCGCATAATTACAATGACATTCAACCAGTATAAACAGGCTTGAGAACCATCACATCGGCTCTTGGAAAACATACAATTAACTTGAGGGAGCGAAAGCACAGAGGTGTTCTAGAAAGCAGCCCACCAGCCATCCACATAAGCACCCCTTCGGCTGCAGTCAGCATCTTTCGGAGAGGAATTTGTGAACCTTCTAATGCAGTGAGTCGGGTAAGAGATCACCCACCGTACTAGTGATGCGGAACATCTTTTCATATGCTTATTGTGAATACCTTAACCATGAACCATCTGTTCATTTCATTTACCTACTTTCCTAATGGATTATATTTTCCTTAGTTATTTACAAGTGTTCTTTCTAAATCCCAAATATTAATCTTTTGCCACTTATATGTCATAATTATTTTCTCCCAGGCTGTTGCCTATCTATTAACTACTTTTTCGGGTATTTATTGTTTTATAGAAGCACTAATTTTGATCTAATGAAATAACCACTTTTCTTTCTCCATAGCTTTGCCTTTCCATGTCTTATTTAAGAAAGCCTCTCTTTGCTAAGATTTTAAATATATCCTAGGTTTTCTTCTAATACAATATTTTTGTTATTCCCAGTTTCCAAAGGAATAACTTGAAGTTCAGAAGTTTTAAATATTTGACCAAAATTATAAAGCTAGAAATGATGGAGCCCAGACCCATACTGCTGTATATCTATATGTTATCTCCAAGTCACACCACCTTCCTTAAGAAGCATTAAAGTCTGAGAGAGTAAAGGAGGATATACCAGGTCCAGGAATGCTGAAAATTGGAATTAACACACATCTCTGTAGAGACATAAATGATTGGCATATAAATGATTCCTCATCAGCTTCAGAAAAACAGCACGAATCTCCTCCACCCACAGAAACTGCAGTCAGGGGGCCCAAGAGGCTGGAGATCTAAAAATTCCAGTTATAAAATAAGTCATGGGGGTAAGGAAAATAGTGAATTAACATCATAATAACTATGTGTGGTGATAGATGGGTACTAGACTTACTGTGGTGACCATTTTGTAAGGTATATAAATGTAGATACATTATAATCTACACCTGAAACTAATATACGACTGTATGTCAATTATAATTAAGTATAAATTAATAAAAAAATTTTAAATACTACTGAGCCAACTACTAGCTGGACCCCTAGGTCCAACTCCTCTTATTCATTCATTCACCCATCCATTCAAGTAAACATATGCTAATGTATCTCAGGCAGCGGTCCTAACTCCATATTGTGCTTCGCTGGATTTCTCTTATTAGGTATTCTGCAAGTTCCTAAACTTGCTCAAATCCAACCTCTAAATTCACAATGTCCCTAAAATTGTGGTCATGTAGGTCACATGCCTTCTAATTGCTACCAGAAGCGAGCTCCCTGGGGTGGGATTTATGTCTGGTGGGCCTCTGAGTCCTCCAGAGCACAGACCCTGGTAGTACAGCTCTTCTGTTACTGCGCCTACTACATTGTCGTGTGAACAGTGGCTTAACTTTCTCTCTTATGGACACACTGTGATCTTCTGAAGGGTGGGCAACAGTGAATAACGAATAATGAAGGGATAAAGGAAGGCAGGAAGACCTTGTATTTTCAGCAAACACAATCTTCCTAGTGATTGTCCCACTTCATTGAAGATGCTATTTATTCTTGCTGCCACCGTCACCTTTCCGGGGTAGGGGTGGCGGGGCATCACAATCTTGGTACTACCATTATATTCTGATTCCTCTGTTTTTTTGTTTGTTTGTTAATTTCTGTAATGAATTGTCAACTGTTGTTGCTTCTATTGCAACCCGACCAAATCCTTACTATTCTCCCTGCCACCACCTTAATTCAGGTTCATTGCTTCTTGCAAAAACTATTATAAATGAGCACCCCACACCAATCCATGTACACGTACTGCTGCCATACAATCTTTCTCAAATCGTAATCGCATCACGCCAAGGTCTTGCTGAAAACCTCCAAAGGCTCCCTTGGATCCACGGAATTAATTTCAGATCTCTCAGCTAGACATCGAGGCTCTATATTACCTCATCTACATTCTGATTCTAATTTCCCACTGCTACCCTAACGACAATTTCTCTTCTTCCTTTCTATTCCCCAATCAAATAGGACTATGAGCTTTTTATTAAATCTCTTTTGCCTTTCCCAGTTCTGTTACTTCTGCCTGGGGCCCTCGTCCTCATTCTGTCCTTCGAGACCCATTGGAAATACCAGCTCTTTCATGAAGTGGGGTCCGATAACCCAACAGACAGATATTTGCTTCCTCTGACATTAGCAACACTTTGTACTGCCCTCTTGGTTGGAATAAATCTCACTCTGTTTTACTTTTAAATATGTTTTTACTGATTTTTAGAGAGAGAGGAAGGGAGAGAGAGATAGAAACATTGATGAGAGAGAAACATCATTGATTGGCTGCCTCCTACACGCCCCATACTGGGGATTGAGCCTGCAACCTAGGAATGTGTCCTGACCAGAATCGAACCAGTGACCTCTTGGTTCATGGGTCGACGCTCAACCACTGAGCCACACCGGCCAGACTCACCCTGTTTTATTTATAATCATTTGGTGCTCACCTTGTCCACTGCAACACAAGTGCCTGAAGGTGAAGGTCAGTGCCTTCCTTATTTTTCTAGTTTTCTGAGTCTAGTACAGAGTCTTGCACACAGAGGCAATCAAAATATTTGTTGAACTGAATTGTTCTCTCAACCTTCCTGAGTCTCTCAATACAAGTAAGGTTCTTACACATAATAGTGCTCAAAACATACTTGTTTAAGTAATTTCATAGTTCCAGAGCAAGATTTCTTGGCGTGTATGTAACACTGACATTAACCTATTCATTTAGAAATCTCTCACTAAATAGCTGAAGGAAAAAGGAAAGAAACACCGACTCTAACATCCTCTATTTTTTCCTTGTTTTATGTGATAATGCCTAACTCTTATTAGGTACCTATTGTGTACCAGGCATTGCACTCAAAGCCTTACAATACATAACTCATGTCATCCTCCAAACAGCACCATCAGGGGGCACGTTTTCCCTAATTGATGGGTGGGAGATTTAGAATAGTAACTTGATCCCCCAATGAGCAAGCAAGTGGCAGGGCTGAGATTTGAACCCGGGCAGTTTCTGCCTCCACTGTCACCCTGCTGAGCCCCTTGATTTCCTCAGTTTTAAAAAGAACGTGTTTAAAAATACTTTGACCTACATCTTTAAGAAAATCATTCTTTGAAACATAAAAAACCGCTTGACTCAGATCATGTTAATGGAGGTAAAATTCAAGAACTGCTAAATCTATTTCATCCATCTTCCAATGTAAGCTTCAAATCTAGCAGGCTACCAGTTTTCTCAAGCTACATGCCTGGTCCATATCTGACTATGCATGTAGTCCGCACCCTGAAGGACGGACCAGGTGGCCAAGGTGACATGCTCCCGGAGAGCTGAAAGTCATTAACTTTGGAAAGCAGTCTAGAAGTCTCAGAATCAGACACCCATTGACCTCCGTTCTCTGTGGAAGTCTTTACACACTTGAAAACTGCTGCTGGAGGCCTGGACTCTGAGTGGAGGGCAGAGTTCAGGGGTATGGGGTGGTCACAGGTGATCCACCAGTAAACGAGACCAGAAATGTCTCTACCTTTGAATCTACAATCTGCAGAGAAAAAAAGCACTGGTGTAGATATACTGGCCACGGTGCTGAAAAAGGATATACCAGCAGTAAGAGGAAAGGAAACATGTTGAATTGGCCTAAATATGATAAGAGCACTTTGAGGGAAAACTCACACGCTGTGAGATAAAGGTCATTTCTTTCCTGAAGTTTCAGAAATACAAGCATGGGAAGTAGGGATGGGCACTGGGTATTGTGGAAAATGACAGCCTTTGATACTCATGCGCACTGAGTTAATATTCTGCAACCTCCCTGCGCTATCGCAGAAGTCATAAAAACAAAGCACATCACAGAAAAAGGAGTTTAAGTCAAGTGAAGATATTTTATGACATTGCAAGCTTCTTAAAAGTACATTGAGTCGAACATGAAAAAAAAGCAAATAGTTAATCCCACAATAAAACATAAAAGCAATTTTGCTCCAGCAAACCTGAATAAATGCATATTTTTAATGATTTTGAAACCTCTTTTAAGAAATCAGCCAATATGACAATTAACTAAATGTTTTTATAGAGACGGAATATCAAGTTAAAGCATGTCTATTGATTCATATTAAAGAAAAAGGTTCCGACCTTTTCTGTTTTGGGTCATTACAATTCTCACATGAACTCAATCCCCGAAACACCTTTACCATGACGAATGTGAAATGCTATTTCGATAGAGACCTACCTTGAAAGTACACTATTTTCCCTGGGAAGGCAACTTCCCCAACATGCTACATGCCCAGCACACCCTGACCTGTACAAGATTTAAAGGAGCTGGAGAAAAAGGAAAGAATGGTCCTCTCCCCATACATCTCAACCCTACTTCATGCTTTTCCCTTTAAATCTAAGCATTTTAAAACACTAAGAATTTTGCTACTGTTTCCCCTGGAGCTTTCTCTATCAAGATTAAAGAAGGGCTTATTCAGGAACAAACAGGATACAGGAGTCATGGTTGGCTTCCAGGCAAGCTATAAATAGTGACAGCATTTTCAAGAAATCTTATGCCCAGTGAGGGAGTTGCCATTTAAACACGCAGTGCCGATTTTATTACAACGGTGTCACCAAAATGCATTGTTATGTGAGAAATTCAATTCTTACCAAGTTTTCTTGGTTCCTGGCTGCTATTTTCTGCTCCTCTTCTGCCCCGTTTTTCATGTATTTGACCTCTTCCACCGGTTTGATCCTATACTCATCTGAGTACCAAAAAAAAAAAAAAAAAAAAAAAGACATTTGATAACTTTTTTCACAAAGGTAGGCAAGTGTCAGTGAGAAAAGCCCAATAGTGTGATGTGTTAAGAACCTTTTCCTGCGCTCTTTCTTTGGGGTTCATTTGAAATCATCTGGATTGAACTTCCCCAGCCTCTTTCTAAGACGCAAACTCCTCTGTCTACGGGGAAAGCTCGGCACCACGAGGACAGCTACTGACAGTGGCACCGCCTGGCCCTTTTACAGGAGGCAGAGGGGGCCAAGGAAGCAGGCGGTTCCACCTGTAAAACTATTTGGGGTCTGCACACTCAAGGACATATCACGTCATGGTCTAAGGAAGATGTTTCTCCTATGAACTAATATTTTCTTTATGAAAATGTGAGTTCAAAATACCAGTGGCAGCAATTTTCAGCAGTTCAGGTACACCTAATTTCTGAATTTTTCTTTTGAAAAAACAAAGTACTGTTTAAGACTAAAGAGTTTAATTGATCAACAAACCGATATAAACAATGGGAAATAAATTGTCCCTATTTGTAATCCCCATATTAAATATGGAGCATTCTGCAATTATTTCACATGCTCTACACACACACACACACACACACACACACACGCACACACGCACACACTTCCATTTAACCTCTCTATACAGTCACGCGTACAAAGAGCTGTAATTCTAATGGATGTAACAGGTGGGTATATCATACAAGACTGGAGAGCACAGTGAGTGGGTCATGGTGAGACCTAAACTTCACAACAGCCAAGGAGAGAATAGAATAAATCCCAATATTGATAAACATCATGAGACAAACTCAGGAAAAGATACAGCTAACGCTCTTTTTCCAGGGCAGAGGTTTGGTGATGACAATGATGACATTTTCATCAGAGTCCTATCAACAGGATATGACTTGAGCAAATGAGGTCCAAAATATGTGTGACTTTGAGTCATCTTTAGTCCGATTTGTCAGGGGGAAAAATCACAGAAACAATTGAATTAGAAAATTTCATCAGCTAACAAATTGATGACAGCCTAGCATATGGTATGAAATAATGTCTATAATAGGTTACTTGAAAGATGTCAATCAATAAAGAAGTTTGTATATCAGTTCAGGCAGTTGCAATATATTTTCTTATTGCCTATGACTAATTTGATACAATGACATATTTTACATAATTTCCTGCCTTATTATTTATACCACTTTCTTTATAGTTTCAGGCTTCCTCATACTATCCCTTAGTAGACTACTACCAAAGATATTTGTTATAGCAATATTCCTCCAGGTAATTATGCTGTTCAAATGTCTCTTAAAATTATCACCCTTATGAAAGTAATACATGTGCATCTATCTGAATAAAGACTCCATGTTCATGGCTAAGCCAATTGTTTTTTCCACCTGATAATTCAAGGTAGTTATTGCTTTTGCTTCTTTCTAAAGAAATTAGAAAAACTGGTGAGAGGTTACAGTAATGAGCCCTGTAGAAATACCAAGTCCTAAATGTGCTAACAAGTTAATCAATGAATTCTGATCCACAATTACAACACACAAGAATTTCACTTTCCAATTTGATATTCAGAAGAGAAGTGAATTAATAAAATCAGCACATTTAATTAAGGACTATTTACTCAGAATTTGGAAAAGCAGTTTTGATTTGTTTTTTTGTTTTTTAATAATAAAAAAAAAGGACACTGACAAATTATGCATCCAGTACAATTAGAGAAAGAAAAATAAAGGAAAAAATAATAGCTAAGATGGGCCTCCTTAACTTCAGTTTGGGACATTAATATTTATAAACCATGGTTCGCTGGGATAATTACTAACATTTAACTGATCTAAACTGTGATCTTAATGACTTACAGTGAGCCTCTAATTATTTAAATATAAATTACACACAGACACAGTACATTTTAACACAATTCCAGTGGATTGTAGGACTTTTGTTTATAGGATTCAAACACTCATATGATAGAATGGGGAAAGCACAGCATCTTGGGACCTAAGAAACCTTCTGAAGAACCTTCCGAAAGATGGCCCTTTAGCCAGCTGCAGAGAGAAGCTGCCCTTGCCTCGCCCCGTCCTCTGCCATCTGCCAAGCCACAGCCCACTGCTCTCTCAGCGCCCTCGCAATACTCAATCTTCAGTCTCTTCATCCCTCCAGGGAACACAACTGAACTGAAAGAAGCAGACACACTATTCATACTTTTCTAATATTTTTTTCTTCAATGAACTGGAAGAGCTGCTGGCTACGTGACTTTCAAAGCAGCATTATCCCAAACACAGGCTTTCTTTTAGCATCAAGGCAGAGTCATCACGAATGTAGAAAGAGGGTAGGACTGAGCGTGTCATTAGCAGCCACGGCTGGCGAGCCAAGGCTGTGTTAGAGGAACGCACTATGATTGGCTACGAAGAAAGGAAAAGCAAACAGCCACAGAGCCCGACCCATCATGATTACTTACACACACACACTGCACAAAAGTCTTCCGGGTAGAAAACAAAGGAGCCAGCAAGACCCTTACATAAGCCACCGTTTGTACAATGGAAATACGTAAAAATGGGCTGTCGGATTTCTCAACGGCACGAAGATGTCCATCTGGAAACAGGCAACTCATCACAAATGTGTCACCCATTTCCATGGCGACGCAGCCCTCTGGACCGGCACTTGCCAACCGGCCTCTGTGCAGACGAAAGAGCCCTTCGGTTCTGACAGTGAAGCCACCACCACTGAAATCTGGTTTCCCTTTTGTTGAAGGCACAGGGGCATCGATGTGGGACTGCAGGCCCCCTTCATCAGTCCGGCCACTGTCCCCAGCCCCAAGGTCCTGGCGACAGGACACTGAGCCAACCTGATTAAGGGGAGGGGGAGCAGGATCGTCTTCCTGCAGCTCCCGCACACCTGTTCACAATTTTTCTTTTCTTCCTGTTGGTCTTGTCAGGTGGCTTATTCAAATGCACATCAGAAACAGACTGACACCCCTCCCCATCCTCTGTGTGTGTACAGTTGCAAGCTGTGCAAGCCAAGCAGATCAGGGGAAAAGCCGTGCCTTGGTGATACTGCTGGCATTTCATCCCTCAGGGGACATCAGAGAGGGGCCAATTGTTTCTGTGGCAGCTCCATCATGCCGAAAACACTGTTTCCCACCAAATGCCGGTACCTCGCTTTTGACATAAAGTATATTCTATGCATGTACGTTTTTAGAGTTAGAAGGGGATCGATTGGCTGGACTGCCTTTAGGTGAGTATGGAATCATCCCCATCTTCTGGATCCCCTCAATTCTTCCATTATGGACTTCCTAGGCCTGTCCCAGATCTCCCAGGCTTCTCGGACAGATCTGTGACACAGTTACTTACTTTTGTTATCAATAGAACTGACTTGTAAAGGAGTCAATCAGCTGGAAATGAGTACTGGAAGAATTTATAATACCGGAAGTATAAAAAAAGTTAACCATTTTCCTAAGTGTGCATATTAGATGAGGAAGAAGGAAGAAAGCAGAAGACCCCTATATATGTGGCACTCTGAGGTAAGAAGAAATCTAATAGTTGTATTTTTAAAATTATATGTTTACTCACTTAATTGTGCATTCAGCGGTTGCTTCTTGGGTGTGCCCTGACTGGGGATGGAATGCACACCAGTGGTGTATTGGGATGATGCTCTAACCAACTGAGCCACCCGGCCAGGGCTACAGTTGTTTACTAAACTTTCATACCTTCTCACCCAGCCTTCCTTCGATCAGTGGTACATCTATAATAATAAACCCCATCTTTTCCAGGCTGCTCCAATTTCAAGTTCCGTGTTCATATCGTCATCTCTAAATAGCCCAGCTTCTGGACATCTTAATGAAATGAGCTGATGGCCTCTTCGTCCAGAATCTGCATGAAGATTCTTTGGTGGACTATGATTCTATGCTCAGGGAAACATGAGGGCTTGGGAAAGAAGGTACAAGAAGTATTTACAAAAACAGAAAAGCCAATTAAAAGAATCAAACTATCCTGCTTTATAGCATAAACTTATTCCCCTTGGGCTTTTCCATTGAACATTCTGTCTTCCAAGCAAACTAAACTTGAGTCCCCAATTCCTGGTACAACTTCAAATTCTTGCCTACGATCTTTATTTCCTTACTTGGAAGGATTTTTTTTCAACAAATGAGCATTCACAGTGGCGAGGAGCGCAGCCTCTGGTGCTAGAAGACCCAGCATTATGGCCGTGGGCCAGTTACTTTTCCCTTCTGTGCCTTGGTTTCTCCATCTGTGATATTTCTGGTGCCTGATCTCACACTGAGCCACGTGAGTTACCACATGAAAACAGTGCCCAGTCCATAGTAAATGCTCAACAAATGCTCGCCGTTGCTGGTTTTGCAGGGGACACTATTTTTAAAGCATAAAATATAATGTAAACATCAACAATTGCTTTAACCAAAAATTGTGACTTTACTGTGTTAACAAATGAGAGGAAGTGAGAAGGGGGTTTATGGTCCATAATAAGCTTTTAGTATTTTTTTTTTTGGACTACATGCCTATATTACTTTATTGAAAATAGGAAATAATTTTGAAAGATTAATAAATAACATTTATTTTTGGAAAAAGAAAAGTGATCCTTATTTAAGCAAGACCCGGGTATGACAAAATAATGCTCCTCTCGCCTCTTACATATCTTCCCACTATTACTGCCACTGGCTCACAGCCTACGGTGAGGGCACCAGAGTGAACGGGTGAAGTTCCAATTTAGAATGATTGTTTCAGAGTCTAAAGGGTGAAGGCTGCTCTAAAGAAAGTAACTGTGGAAGGAAAACCCCTTTTCTGGAAGGACAAAGAGGCAGGACGCTGGCACTACAAAGCAAGGATGGACAGATGAGGTCATCGCATTAGGAAAGAGCGGCCTTTACTGTGGAGCACTCCATCCACCTCATCAGCTGTTCAAGCCTCCATTGGTTAGTCATTCAACAAACATTCATGCACCATTTACTGGGTACCAAGCCCTGGGCTTCCTCAGG